ACCCTGCACGTGAGGGCAGGGCAACCCAGCACAGCACAGCACATGTCCCAGCTGTCCAGGAATAGAGCATGCCTGGAGGCAGTGATTAATTCCACAGCAGGGGGTTTGGGAAGGAAGTGGGGTAGGGTGAGTTTGAAGAACACTTCCAGAAAGATAACAAGACTTTTTCACATAGACAAGAGGGCCGAGGTCTTCATGTTTCCAAGAGGAGGGATCAGAATGTCCACTGAATTGCATGGACCCAACAGTGGGGCAGGGCTGGCCCCAGCAGCCATGCTAACACACTAGATCATTAGGGCTGGGCAAGCATGGGGTGGGAACACGGGCTACAGCTGGACATGGGGCGGGGTCAGTCCTGCCATTAGGGCCTGGAAGGCCACTTTCCAAAGGGTTTGGACTTCATCCTGAGGGCAGTGAAGGATTTGGGACCGGGGAGGGCCACAGAGACTGATGCATGACTGAGGAACTAGCTGGGAGTCATTGGAGATGGTGTCTGACTCTGGGGAGCCAGGTCCTGCCATACCCAGTGATGAGAGCCTGGGTGGGGCCTGGGAGGTTGTAGGGAGAAGACAGATCCCAGGTCCATTCTGGAAACAGAGTCTCTGGGATTAGGCCTGTGGGAAGGCCAAGTGGAGTGGACGGTGGGAAAGACCACAACAGGCAGCAGTGGTTTCACTGCGCGTATTAGTGAGCTGACCATTGTTGGAAAACAGACTTTGTCATCTTTCTTACGAAGTTCGAGCAAAAAAATGACTGATGTTGGCTTCTTGGCAGTAGCCCTGGCCATGATGTCCTTGTTCAAGGCAGGAAGAGGAGGTGGCAGTGAAGTCGGTGTGGTGGCACCCTGCCCAGATCACCTCTTCAGGCTAAGGCACGCCCCTAGCAGCTGGAGAGAGGAACTGCCCCAGACACTTTGTGCCCCTCCGTGGAAATTACTGGCTGAGTGGGAGACAAAGGTTCTTCCCACTCTTCAAGGCAACTCTGCGGGACAGCAAGTCCCAGAGCTCCCTGCAGGGTCAGCCACTGCCTCAGCTGCAACCTCATCACCAGCCAGTTTCCTCTGACCCATCCTGCCCCCCTCACCTGTCCCAGGTGCATCTCCCAAGAGCCCTCCCAGGTAGACCTCCCGTGTGCACACACGTCTCAGGTTCAGAGTTTGTCCCTTGAAAGCTTAAGATAGCCAGCTATGTCTGACCCCTCTATCAGAAAAGCAGCCCACCCCAGGAGCAGACCTTGGCTTCTCCCTCAGTGTCTGGAATTGAACCCTCACTGCAAGGGAGTATGGGCACAGTACTACCCTTGGCAATGTCAGGAGCAAGTAGCAAAGGAGAAGGCGGAATGGGTGACAGTCACAGTTTTAGAGACTTTAAAACCACAAGTTTAGTTTATCAACCATGAGTTATGGAAAGTGGAAAAGCAGCATGGCCTCGGGGATGGTTAATGTTCCTGGGCTGATGCTTTGCTTGTTTTGATAAACTGGCCTATGTTGTATTGTTTCTAATGCCTTGAAAATGGCTCCATATGGCAATGTAAGAAAGAAAACATGGAGAAACACTGGGTGGGCATTTAAGAGGCCTCGATCAAAGGCCTTGATTGCACTGTGTCCTGGATGTGAAATTTGGACCGTTTCCTCATCTGTGAGGTGAAGATGTGATGCTTCTGAGGAGTGGCTGTGACAGAGCAGAGGAGGCAGCATTGTGTGTGGAGCAGTGCTGGGCAGGAGTGAGGCTGGGCAGGGAGGATGGAGAGCAGGGGATGCAGCAGCTGAGGCAGGGCAGGGAGGGAAGGGAAGGGCCAGAGATGCCCCACCTGACTTGAATCCCTTGGGAGGTGTGTCCAAAGGGGCAGGAGCAGGGTGAAATGTGAGTTGACTCAGGACAATGGACTTGGTAAGGCAGGTAGAGCCAATGAGCAGGACATAGGCCGGGGACAGAGCTGTGCAGCCCTCCAGGGGAGACCCTTAATGTAGGTGCAGAAACGAGTGTGTTTCCTAGATGCCCCTGGCAGGTAAATTAGAATGGAAGAGGCATCTAAATGGGGCCTTGACTCACCCCAGGTGTTTTGCCACTAACACCAGCATTCCTTCTCTGATAATACATGCACACACGTGGGAGATAGAGGGGTTTGCCATCCCGTTCCACACCTGTACATAGAGAGAAACCCCCACACAATGTGGTCCACTCAGTAAGAGTTCGTGGTGGCCCTGCATCACCATGGAAATGTTACCCCCTCCCCTCTGCCCGGGCAGTAGTGGGAGGTAAGATGCAGGTGCAGTTCAGGGATCAGGCTTGGAAGGAGGCAAGTGTGGCCCCAAAGATGGTTGATGGAGGGTAAGAGAGACTCAAGGGCAAGGAGACTGTCACCCACTGGTGTCCCAGGGAGAACCAGATCTGACTGAATGAATCCAGCAGCACAGCTTAGGATCTGAGCTCTGCAGATCTGGAGAGGAGCTGGAGACACACCTTCATGGTCCCTCCCTCTGAACAAGAGCTCACGTGTGACTCTCCAAGCCCGGCATCTAGTTTTTGCTGAGACGTGCTTCCTTCAAATCCCTTCTGGGGGGGGGGGGGAGGATTAAGATGTTACTTGTTTTTCAACTTTTAACACTTTGTTTTATCCCCCTGTCGCTTGGAAAGATCATGGCCAATTTATTGGCCAAAGCAGAACCTCTGGCCGTCCCAAAAAAAGCTGCCAATCAAACTTGCTACCAGCATGTTCAACATGGAGCATGAGGGTGTGACTCATGGGATCTCATGTCCCAACATACTGCATCCCTGGTACCTAGCACATGCTGAGTTCTCAGGAGATGGTTGCGGGATGTCTTAGTCTGAGTTCGCCCAAAAGCCAACTCTGAGACAGGACTGTGTGCAGAATCCCGGGAAGCCCAGTGGGAGATGGGGGGTGAAGAGCAGGGAAAGGGAAAACCCAATCAGACCTGTGCCCAGGCCCACTCCTGCTGGGGCCTGTGGGGAGCCCAGAGAGCCTTGGATTCTTCTCTCCAGATGACTGAGCTCTGGGGAGACCCCCAGTCTGAGAGGAGAGCTGCCCTTAAGGTGGGAAGGTAGCAGCACTGCAACAGTTGCAGGTGGATTCGAGGCGGGGGGAGGCTGAGTCCACATGGTCTGCACAGGGGATGGTGGCTGGTGTCCCTTGGGACTTGGGTGGGCCTTGCAGTGTGGTGGAAGAGGACAGTTAGTGTGCAGCAGAGAGGCGGGCAGAGGCGGCTCTCCTCCCATGAGGCCTCTTCACCTCTCTGAGTCCTGGCAACTGCCTCCCAACTTCCTCTAGGCTGCGTGAGTTTGGTTTCTGGAACTTATACCCAACTGTCCTCACTGAAGTAGAGATGACACCACAAACCCAAAGCCCTGGAGACAAACTTGACCTTTTTTCACCACTGCCACAGAAGCAAGGGCAGGTGTGCTGGGCATCTGGACTTGGGGAACGTGGGTTGTCAAATGCTCCAAGAGGTGCTTTTGGCAAAATTGGTGGCAATGACTGAGGACATGATGCCTTTTCCAGTTGCTAACAAGATGAAAGTGAATGACTCAGTTCTTTTTATAGTATAAACACTTTTATTTGCATGTGGCTACTTAATATTAAAAAGTGATCATCACAGACAGCTGCCAGGCAACACGATGAGAGATACCCTGTGGTCCTTTCAAGACATCAGGGTGATCAGAGAGTGAGCAGTGACAATGGTGAAGCCATTCCTGTAGCCCCCCCTCCTGCATCAGGAGCAGAAAAAAGTTGATACGAAACTGGAAGCCCTAGAATCAGTTAAGTCAAGTCCCTTTGGTATAATAATTTACTTCATTTCAGATGACGGTGGCACATACAGTTACAGTACTGTGCCCTGGTTGCCTGAGTTGGCAGAGCCAGCCCAGGGGCCCATGATGAGGGAGCACAGCTTTCTTTGGAAAAACACTTTGAAACCAAGCACCTAGGTTGCAAATGCCTCAGCATGTCCTTCAAAGCCCGCCCCGCCGAGGGCCCTGGTCCCCCAGGCCTCCAGGCCAAGGGGCACTTAAGCAGAATCAAGAGAAGCGTGAACACAGTCCCTGGAACAGGGGTCCTCTCGCTGCCCCTGAGGTGATGTGACAGCTTTTTTTCCCCCATGCGGTGGCGGCAAGAGAATCCATGGATGCAATGCCCCCACCTTCGCTGAGGGTCTTATCTGAGGGACAGGCGGCTTCTGGTCCTTCAGAGATGGGGTCTCGGAAGCCTGACATGGGCTTACAGAAGCCTTGCAGTTTTCTGAGAGGGCTGACCCATGGAGGAGTGGGCTGTGCGGGTTCCTCCTCATTCCGACTCCCACTCTATCCCCAGATCTCAATGTATAATGATTTTATAGAGTCAATCACTTATTTTCCCCAAAAATCTGCCGTCAGAGTTGGCTTTATGCCGATTTTCCTTGGGTCTTGATGCTGGGAGGAGAGGGGAGGAGGAGTGGGGTAGGCAGTGTGACTTGTCCCCGCCCGGCTCCCTGGGACAGCGGACCGCCGCTCCACAGCAGAGGCAGGATGGGCACAGCAACAAGTGTGCATCTGCATTAGATCTGGAGGCCTTGATGGCATCTTTTCGATGTAAAGAAAATTAGACTGAACATTCCCTGAACCTACTCTAGGGTATCCCATTGCTGAGGCAAAGTCCACAAACAGGCGTGACGTTAGAGGAACTGGGGCTCTCAATGGCGAGGGCTTGAATGTGAGTTTTCTCGAAGAGCAAGTTCACGGTCAGATAATTCCAAAAGGCAGTTACTTTTCCAAGAGGAAGAAAATAATAGCTTTCTCACATGCCGCCTAGTGAAATAAGATGTCCAAACCAAGATGCCCAAGTGTGGTACCATCGCTCATTCTGAAAAGGCGGTCTGTTCATCCCATGGACGTTTTAGTGGCTCATCTGTTTATCATCCAGGTGATCCTTGCTGGAGGCTGCTTTGGGGGGACCAATAATCCAGGCTCTCAAAGAACATTCTCCCTTGGTGTGGCTGACGCTCCGTGTCAGTGGTAATAGATGCTGAAGGCATGGAGGATGTAGAGCAGCGTGGTGACAAAGGCAAAGAACTGCAGGGGGTGGGCAGTGCTGTTAGAGGTGGCCCGCGCCAACTCCTGTCCCCACCCCCGGGGCCTCAGTCCTGCTGCTCGGCCTCGCGGTTTAACCCTGCCTCGTCCTCCCCTGCCTGCCTGGGGGCAGCAACCGCCGGCCAATGACTCCCTTCTCCTGGAAACTCTCCGTTCCAGGGCATCCCTAGAGCCATAACTGTGTCCTGCTCCAACCACACAGTCTCCACCCCGTCTGCACCTGGCCGTGAAGTCAGCTCACCTCCACGCCTGCCCTGGGCCCCCAGCCCACACTGCCCTCCCTCCTGCCCTGGGCCTGCTCTCCTCTGCCCACCTCCAGCCCCTGGTCCTACTCTTCCACTCGCTGCTCTGAGCGCCTGCTCGTTAGCTCCTTGTGAATGTTCAGACAGCCTCCATCCCGAGTTCTTTCTGGCCCACACAAAACTCCTGACTTTTCCTTACAAACCTCAAAGCTCAGTGGGCCCTAGGACCCTCATCTCACGCAGACCCCCAAGCCAGACACCTGCGACTCTCCCTCCCCCGCTTGCCATGGCCAAGGCTGCCCAAGCATCTACTGACTTTCCTGCCTATCTTTTGGGCCACCACTTCTCCCTCGTCTCAGCCATCAGCATCCCTTGCCAGGACCTCTATGGTCTTACCCATCCCCTTCTGCCTGCTCTGCCCCAAGAAGAAAACACAATTGCATCACCCCATGTTGAAAGCCATGTGCTGGCTCTCCTCATTCTCAGGGCAGGGGCTGTCACCTTTAACATGCCTTCCAAGCCTGGCTGACCACTCCAGCCTCACTCTGCCCCACTGCCCACTCACACTATTCTCATTCATTCATTCAACAGATATCTTGCAAGCACTTGCTGTGCTTCCAGGATGAGTGTGGCTATAACAGCAAACAAAACATTAAACAATTCCTGCCCGCATGGAACTTACGTGTAAGTGGTAAGAAGCAGAAAATAAGCAAGATTTTAAAAGCAGGGCATATGTAGGCTAGATGGGGTAAGTGCCCAGGAGAAATGGAGCAGGGAAGGGGAAAGGGAATTCCATGATGTGTGTGTGTGGTGGCGGGCGGGGGGGGAGGTGTCAGGGAAGGCCTCACAGAGAGGACAGAGCAGGTACGAGCTGTCATGCGGGTCCGGGGCAGAGGCATCTGTGTGCGTGGAGGCTGGTGTGACTGGGACAGCTGACCGACGGTGGAGCAGCAGGAGGAGGAGGCCGTGCTGGGGTGAGGCCAGGTCATGGAGGGCCCAGGGACCACTTGTAGAGTTGTGAGTTGAGGAAGTTAAACTCACTTGACGAGGAGGGAAGGGAAGCAGATAGGCTGGAAGGCAGCTGAAACACCTTGTGGTCACCGCAGAGGGTCACAGCGCTTACCTGGGGATGTCATCCTTACTCTGAGGACAGCGCCCCAACATGTGCCCCTTGCCCCTGCCATGGCCACGTGAGCCCTAGAGGAGTTGCTAGGTTGACATAAGAATTTCTGGCTACAGTGACTGGTTTGTGGATGGGCACAGACTCAGCCTCAGAGCAGAGTCCTTCCTTGGAAGTTTTCAAGGTCAGGCTACTCCAGAGGAGGAATCTGAGCTCTCTGCCACAAGAGGGCACCCTGCACAAGGGAAAGAGGGCTGGTGTGTGGGAGACTGCCAGCACATGGCTTTCAACATGGGGTGATGCAATTGTGTTTTCTTCTTGGGGCAGAGCAGGCAGAAGGGGATGGGTAAGACCATAGAGGTCCTGGCAAGGGATGCTGATGGCTGAGACGAGGGAGAAGTGGTGGCCCAAAAGATAGGCAGGTCTCAAAGGGCCTGAGGCCTGGGGGGGTCTGCTCACCCACCATTCGACTGGACCATCTTGCCTGGTGTCCGTCTGCTAAGACGTCACCCTGTTGACTTCTACTACTGACATAAAGGACACTGGAACAGTTCGGCCATGCTGAGGGATTTGGGCTCCATTCTACAGGTAATGGGAACCATAGAAGGATTTTCAATAGAAGAGAGAGATGTGCCCAGCATGGTGGTTCATGCCTATAATCCCAACACTTTGGGAGGCTAAGGTGGGAGGACCACCTGAGGTCAGGAGTTGGGACACCAGCCTGGGCAACATAGTGAGACCCTGTCTCTACTAAAAATAAAAAATTAGTGGAGTGTGGTGGCATGTGCCTGTCTATAGTGCCAGCTACTCAGGAAGCTGAGGCAGAAGGATCAGTTGAACCCAGTAGGTCGAGGCTGCAGTCATACCACTGCATTCCAGGCTGGATGACAGAGACCTTGTCTCAAAAAACAGAGAGAGAGAGAAATGTTTTGATTTGTATTTTGGAGGGAAAAAAATCTGCAGACCATGTGGTGGGTATAGGAAAGAATGAGGCTAAGTCAGGAAGGACAGAAGGTGGTGATGACCCCTGAGTGTGGGTACACATGTACACACATACACACACACACACACACACACACACACACACACACACACACACACAAACACCTTCCCCTGGTCCTTGCTCTCTTTCACCTTGAGGGCTCAGGGTTGTCTGAATAGCAGGAGCAGGATTAGGCTTTATGCAATAAACTCCATCTGGTGACAACACCTGTCAGGGTCCCCACCCAGCAGAGGCCTGCCTGCTCACCGAGGCCGCTGTGTTGATGTAGTAGTTTCTCAGGTCCGTAAACTCAGAGATGATCGTGGCATGTGCTTGTAAGACGGCAGCGCTCATGTACAGGATGCCAGTGGTCCCGTGGTACAGGCTGTCCTGGAATGCAGAGCAGAGGCCATGCATGGCCACATTACTTGGTTGACACTTTTCTCTCTGACTACACAGTTGGGAAGAGCAAGAAAAAGAGACAGATCCATTCCCAAACTCCTGCTTTTTTTTTTTTTTTGCAGTTGTTTTAAATAAAATATCTATGTACCAAGCAATAGTGGATTAGTAAAAATCAATATTGACATTAGTATTAATGCTAATTAATAGTATTACTTAATAATATTAATACATAGTAGTAATACGAATACCAGCTAACATTTATTGAGAGCTTATTTTGTGCTAAACTCTATGCAAGGGCCTTTTCTCATTTATCTTATTTAATCTTGTCAAGCATGAGGTAGATACTATTTATTATTGGCTTACCTAGAATTTGGACCTTGGCCTCATTAACTCCAAGCTATGCTCTTAGCCATTAGCATTAAGAAGACCCACTCTCTGCTGGACACTGTCCCAACAGCATACACATATTGCCTCATTTCATTTTCACAGCTAATCATAGAGCTGCTACTATTATTCTTCCCAATTTACAAATGAAGAAACTGAGACTGGGCTAACACATGGTAGATTTGGTGGAGTCAGGTTAGCCTGACTCCAGACATCAGTTTTTGAAGTGGTGTTCTTGGATTTGACAAGAATGCCACGCAGTCATTGAAAATGGTAATCAATTCTGGAAGGAATGTCATACTCGGCAAAATCTGCATTTTGCAACCTGGAATAAAATATTCAATTCAAAAAAACTTACCAGGGGGAGAAAGAAAGTATTAGAGAAAGAACTGATAAGGCTGAGTTGGCAAACTCCCTGAGAGAGGGACCATTGGCCACCACGTGGAATGTGACAGGAAGCATTAGTGCCAGAAATGTTTAACCCATAGCCAAGTAAGCCCTTAGTGCTAACTTCCAGCTCACAGAAAATTCAGTGACTAGGGGAGCAAGTCAAATCATACCTAGAAGGAGCAATCGATAAATTCACAATATGGGACCTCCAACAGGAAAGCTATCTCAGTTTCTTCAACGAGTTACTAGAAGGGACAGGGTCCAGCCAGTCTAGACTAACGGTGCCCATGAAATTTAACAGCCAGGTGCAATACATGGCCCTTGTGAGGATCCTGACCCAAACAGGTCAACTGCCAAAGGATAGATGCTGTAGTTCCCCTTTATCTGCAGTTTTCACAGTTTCAGTTACCCATGATCAACCTTGGTCCAAAACATTAAATGAAAAATTCTAGAAATAAACAATTCATCCATTTTAAATTGCTCACTGTTTTAAGTATCATGATGGAATCTTGTGGCATCCCACCCTGTCTCACCCAGAATGTGGATCATCCCTTTGTCCAGCTGATCCACACTGAAGATGCTCCTTAAGTCACTTAGTAGTCATCTGGGTGATCAGATTGATTGTCATGGCATTGCAGTACTTGTGTTCAAGTCACTCTTATTTTACTTCATAATAGCCCCAGAGTGTAAGAGTAGTGATGTTGGTGATGTGGACATGCCAAAGAGAAGCCACAAAGTGCTTCCTTTAAATGAAAAGGTGAAAATTTTCAACTTAATAAGGAAAGAAAAAAAAATCTTATGCTGAGGTTGTTAAGATCTACTGTAAGAATTAATTGGCTCTCCGTGAAATTGTGAATAAGGAAAAAGAAATTTTTACATAGTATATGCAGGGTTTGGTGCTAACCAAGGATTCAGGCCTCCACGGAGGGTCTTGGAACATACCCCTCAGGGATAAGAGGAGCCTACTGCATACTGCCTTATATATACTGAGGAATTCTTATTAACTTTGTATAAGTGTGATGATATGGGAAAGATTGCATATTTTTTGGAAACATACTGAAATGTGTGGAATGGAATGACATGATGTCTTAGGTTTGCACTGAAATTCCCAAGGGCAAAAAAGAAAAAGCTAGATGAAGAAAATGTGGTGAAAACTAGGGGAAGAAATGTGGTTGATGATGCTGGAATCTAGGTTATGGTTCCGTATACTTATACTTACACATATACTTTTGTATATGTCTTTAATTGTCAACATACAAAATGTTTCAATGGTTACCAAGATGATGTGACAACATGAAAAAATTAAGAATGTAACATTAAATGAAAACATTTATGTCCAAAATTATTTGTTCAGCATAATTACGATGTATATACACTTTGCACAAAATTCATGTCGGATATGGAAGATAGAACCTATCGCAGCAATCATGAGAGGACCTGGAGATTGGAGCAATTTCTTTTTCCTGCCAGCGGTTTCTTCAGTGTTGCTCCAATGATTTTGTCAAGAATGAAATTCAGGGGAAACACATCAGAATGTGCTTGGGTATGTGGTCTTGTGTATTTTCCTAACAGGGAAGGCAGTGAACAGGAATACAAGGAAAGAGTCTCTCTTGCAAAGAAATGTTTTCATTTTGGCTTGATAATAAACATACGAAAATCAAAAGTCCTGGTTCTACAGGTGTGTAGCCCGAGAAAGGTCTCACAGACCTCCTCCCTCCCTCCTGATTCTCCCTCCCCGCCCAGAAGGACCCATTGTCCCCACCCCACCCAGGACATTAGTCCAGGAGGACCACCCTGCTGGTTCTTACCAGAACTCTCCAGGAATCATATCTTTTGTAAAATCCGAACAAGTAAGACAACAGGAGCATCAGGGAGATGAGAAATGATGTGAGGGAGACATATAGCACCCATCCTTGCAGCAACGGATTTGCCACCTGGGTGGCGGCTACCAGGATCCAGACCCAGCACCCAGATATCTGTAAGAGAAAAACATGAAAAGGGGCTTCATTTGCTTGTGTGGGCACATTTCTCTTTGCAGGGTGTTTCTCTTCTCTTCCATCTCTGGTTAGAAGCCAGTGATGTTAGTGGGGAACCAAGAGAGAAATGAGAAAGGAAGCCTGGCCCCTCTGAATCACGGCAAAGTTAGGTCCTATTGTTAGAGAATTCACAGAGGTTGCAAGCAGAGGAACTCTCAGGAAAGTTTAACCCGTGGATATGTCTTCTTGGTCCAAGCAGTGTTGGTGTATGCCCTTTAAAACAATTCTGAGTAAGTTGTCAATGTTTAAAACAGGAGATTTCACATGAAAAATCCAGATTTGGAACATTTCTTTAGAAATCCATGGTTTCAACCATGCTGCCCATCGAAGTTGAACTGGATTTTTTAAAATGTGGTACATACACACAATGGAATATTATACAGCCATAAAAAAAGAACAAACATATGGACTCCACAGCAACTTGGATGGATTTAGAGTCGATCATACTCAGTGATCTTTCACAGAAACAAAGAACAGAGTACCATAAGCGAACCTTGAGCAATTATCGTAATACTGTAAGAAAGGGATTGGCAATAGTGGGAAACTTCCAGGGGAGTGGGGAGTGAGATTGACAGTTGAGGGAAACTGCCAGGGGAGTGAGGGGCACAACTCATCAATAGGGATACCTGCATAGTGAACATTTACCTAACCCTGAATTGTACCCCACATCTTTAAGACAAAGAAAAGAAAAAAGAAATCCGTGGTTCCTACCACAGTGTACCCATTTTCCAGGCTAGAATGGGGTGGAATAAACTGTGACTGTATCTTTTAAAAGGACCCGAAGTCCTCAGTGGACCACAACCCCCACCTCTCCCACCAATCTCATGCTGTCCTGTGGCACATTCCCTACTGCTCACACACACGGTGGAAAAGTACTCTCCTCTTCTGGCTCTTTTCACCCACTGACAGTGCCTGCTGGGACCCTGTGGGCACTTGGTTTGGAGCCATCAGGTCATAGTGTCTGCTGCTCTGGGGTCAGTTATCAGCTGGAAAAGATGGTTCAGTTTAATCACTTCTCAACTCTGTTCAGCTATTTTTTTTAATAAACTTAGTGAAGAAACCAAACCCTTCTCCTGTCCTATCTGGGCTCTGCCTTTGTTTGCTTTTAGGCTGGGCTTGCACCCATGTTGGTAAGCCCAGAGGAGGAACTGAATGTCCAGCAGAGGGGCATGTCCAGTTAGAGGCTTGGAGGGAGAGGTGCATGAGCACCAAGGGGTTTGCTGCTGGTTTGTGACTCTGAGCTCCTCTCCTTTCCACGGTCCTCTCAGGAGGCTCCTGCAGCCCTGCTCAGTTCCCCCTCTCCTTACTCCTGTTAAATCTATGCTTTTAAGCACCACCCAGGCTGGCAGTCTCAGAACCTACCACCAGCTCATTTCTCTCTGTGGCCTTCATCCCCACATATCTCTGCTTGGATGTCCCTCTTCAGGGGCCAGTTTGGGCATGTGCATGACCCCAAAAGTGAGTGTTTCATTCCAGTTTGCACCCTAGGCACATCACTTGCCTCACCTCAGTCCTGGCCCTCCAGCTCAAACTCCTCAAATTCAGGTGGTACAAAATCTAAACTTACTGCGACCCCCAAATTCCTTCAGAACCCCCCCCCCCAGCCTCTGCTGAAAATGATCCATCTTGGGGAAAGAGAGTTGTAGGATTGGGAATGGGTGTACAGAGGCCTCCAAAGAGAATGACAATGTTCTTTTTCATAGTGATTTCACAGGGGGTTATGTTTTATAAAGTAATAAAATAATTTTGAAAAAGAAGAGCCAGTTAGACTATGAGACTACTGAAGACTTGGGGTGATGGGGGACCCAAAGATGATTACTGAACTCGTGTTTTGGAGGACTCACGCTACCATTTTGTAAAACTTTCTATATAGTCATCAAAAAGAGTTGTCAGTGCAAGTGACTCACATTTCTGCTCATCTCAGGACACAACTTGCCCCCTTCCCTAGTTCTGTTGCCTTTCCACACAAAGTTTAGAATCAACTTGCCACTGTCTATAGTATCTATCTGCTAGAATTTTTATTGTGTTAAATCTATAGGTCAATTTGGGGAGAATTGGCATGATTACTACGTTGAGTCTTGTAATCCATGAACATGGTATGTCTCTCCAATTATTAAAGTGGTCTCTGACTTATTTTATCTATGCTTTGTAATTTTTAGCATACAGTAGTTGGACACATCTTTTCATATTTATGTCTAAGTATTTCATTTTGAAGGAGCTATTGTAAATAGTATTGCTTTTAAAATTTTTATTTCCCAACTCTTCATTGTTAGTAGATGGCAATATAGTTAATTTTTTATGTGTTGATATTATATACTGTAACTTGTTAAGCTTACTTATTAGTTTAAGGAGGACTTTTATTGTTGCTATTTGGAAGATTTCTTGGGGTTTTCAATGTATCTCATTAGATTTTAATTTGAATTTTTATGATTACTAATGAGATAGAGCTTATTTTTGTATATTTGCTAGCATTAATATTTCCTGTTCTGTAAAATTTTTTCAAAATAAGATAGCAACTCATTCTTTTAATAACTTTTAGATATTGGTATTTTATGTTATATACAACCAAAATGATGTGTTAGGCCTATAGTAATTCTTAGGTAGATGCATTTTTGCTTTTTTTTTTTTGAGCATGTAACCAACTGTGCCGCCCATCAAAAGAGGACTGGATAAAAAAATGTGGTACCTATACATGATGGAATATTATGCAGACATAAATAAGAACTGTAAAATTAAAAAAAATTTTTTTAGTTGGAGTTTCATTCTGTCACCCGGGCTGGAGTGCAGTGGCACACTCACAGCCACCCCAGTGTCGACCTGCTGGGCTCTAACGATCCTTCCACCTCAGCCTTCTAAGTAGCAGGAACTACAGGAGCAAGCTACCATACCCGGCTAATTTTTAAAATTTATTGTGGAGATGAAGTCTCACCAAGTTGCCTGGGCTGGTCTTGAACCCACAGGCTCAGGCAATCCACTTGTCTTGGCCTCCCAAAGTGCTGGGATCACAGGCTGAGCCTGGCCTTTAAATTGTTTGTATTGGTTAACACTTTAAAAATTATTTTTCTTTTTCTTATTGATTCATAGGAATTCTTTCTGACAATGTGGATCTCATTGAGTGCTATAAACATTGCAAATATATTCTGCTAGCACATCTCACATGTTTTATGGTGTCCCACATATTTTGTAAGCTAAGCCCTTAATTTTAATGCAGTTGGCTATGTCAGTCTTTTCCTTTACAGACTATGCATTTTATCACGTTTAAGAAATCCTTTTCTACCTTGAGACATGAAGGTAATCTTGCAGCCTAGACTTTCCTTCTGGGATCATTTTCTCTCTTCCTGAAGTACAATCTTTAGAAGTCTCTTTAGTGGAGGCCAGTTGGTAGAAATCAGTTAGGTTTGTTAGAAAAACGTCCTTAATTTTCCCCTGACAATTATTTTTTTCTCATTCCTTTCAAGATATATTCCCATTGTGTTCTACATTTGTCCATATTATTCCATTGTATTCTGGCTTCCCTTATTGTTAAGAGGTCAGATGTCAGTTGAACTGTTGTTGCTCTGTAGGAATTTGACTTTGATATTTGGCTGCATATAGGCTCTTCTCTCTATCTTTAATGTCCTGCAGTTGGTGCAATAGCAATACAATGTGTTGAGATATGGATATCCTTTTGTTGCTCCTGCTTGGTATTCATTTTACATTCAATATCTGAAAATTTCATTAACTTTGTCTTAATAGCTTGGCTTTGCAATTTGTGGCTTCGGTTAACTTACATTCCTGTTCACCTGTTTCCTGTTATGTTTAGTGAATTTCTATTGGGAGCTCGTGTCTGTAGGGGTAGCTCAGTTCTGAATGATGCTATCACAGACCTTCTAGACCAAACACCTTCACTCACTTCTGTGTAGCTCAGGTATGCAAATTCAGGTTCTGCTTTTTATAATATATCCCTGGCTTTCTGGAACTAGCAGTTTTTGCCTTATGACTAGCCAACATATAGAGATAGATGTGTCACCCTATCCCTTCTGAGGCTTCCACTGTGGTTGTCTTGAGGAGGAGAGACATTATTGAATTTATGGAGAATTCATGAACTCTTAAGGAGAAAAAAGGAAAAGGGGATGAGAGGTCAGAACAGAATAGGAAGTTGGCTACGAGGTAGAGACTCTTAGGAAAGAAATACAAGTTTAGTTCTTACAGGGCTGGGAAACACCTCCAAAAGCCAGTTTGCCCCTTAAAATACTAGTTATGGGAGCATACTCTCCCTTAACAATCAATCTCCAAATGAATTTTGGAAGATCTAGGCTGACTTAAGATTGCCTGTGAGTGAGTCAGGGGTGGCTTGTCCTAAGGATGGAAGCCACGGTCTTCTGGCTCCCCTGAACCGGGCTGTTGCATTTGAACCCCAGCGCTGATGCTGCAGAGAGGTACCAGTGCTCAGCTTTAAGGCGCCTGCCAAGCATTCTCCCTGCCAAGCCATGGGAAGTGCATTAAAATACTGGCACATGGCCAACACCCAAACAATGCTAGCTATTAGTGAGCACAGCATGCAGGACTTAGTAAATGCACCAGGATTTGTAAAATTTCAGCCCCATATTAGACTTCTGAGGACAAAGAATGGTCTATGCCATTCACTGCTGTATCCTTGGTGTCCAGTTCAGGGCCTGGAACAAAGCGGCTGGGGAGAGAGGGGTCAAAGAACATCCTTTTGAATGAATCTGTAATAACACCACCACCACCATCACCACAACCAGGTACTTGACAATTTATAAAATGCATTCACCAGCCTGCCTCATTTAACCCATACAAAAATTCTAACTCCTTCAGAGAGACCAGAAAACTGCTATTTGATACCTTCCACTGCTCACTGCCAGTTCACCTGTGCCAGGTTCAGAGGCCAGCAAGGGTGCCTCAGCCCCATCATGCCAGTGTCTCCAAAAGGATCCTGTCTCCTCTTGGCATCAGAAGTCTCCCTGGCCAGCTGCAGCCACATGCACATGATTTACATTTGCACATTTAATCTTTACCACAGTCCATGAGGTGGTGCTGTGCCAGAGGGGGTTGAGGCCTAGGGTAACACAGGCAAAGTGTGGTGGGGCCTGGGTATGTTAGGACACTTGTGGGTCTCTCTCTGATACCAGATTTCACACCCGAGAGCAGGGGCAGGTAGGGGCTTCTAGAATGTGCCAGAGGGTGGCCTGCTGGAGCCTCAGCAGACACCTACTAGGGGAATTAAGGGCCTTGGTAGGGATGTCATGCCTGTAGTTCCAGGGAGCCCATTAGTGACCTTCTCCCTCTGAGTTCCAGTGGTGGCTTAGGGATCCCTGGTCCCACCTTTTCTGACAAGCCAAGAGCCTCTGAGTGTTTGAAAGTCTACTCAAATTTCATGGGAACCTTTTGAAATGGCTTTAGTGTTGCATAATGTTTTGCAGAAGAATGTTCTCACTTCTTATTTACACACCCCTGTACCTTCTAAACAGTAGAAGGGACCAGGGCCAAGTACTAAATCCAGGTGAATTTAAACCCAGTTGAATTTGTTATCTTATTTCTATCTCAAGTAGTCTAGGTTGGATTCTCTGTAGCGAAGAGAACTTTGAGTATCTGTTCCCCCCACCTTTTTTTATAAACTCATATT